TATATAATTAGCTATATATATAACTTTTCTATATTATTTATTTAAAAAGTTTGCTCAAGAGTTCTCTACCAGTTGCTATATCTAACACTTTTGCTTGGATATTATATTTAAACCTTCTAAATCTATAAACTGTATCAACTTTATTAAATTATTTTGGATTCTTATCTTAATTTTAGAACTAATTTGTCCTTAAGATAAACCTTCTAGAGCCTTTGGTATTTCTATTTATAGCTAATTTGAACTTGTTATAACTAAATTAACACTTGCAATTAGGACTAATCATTAAACTGCTATACTCTTGTAGAGTTCATACAACTCCAGTACTCACTTTTACAACCTTACTGATGTCTTATCTATTCTTGTAAGTTCTCTTATACTACCAATTTAGTAAGCTCTGCATGATGCAACTTTATATTTAGATTAACTAATAGCCAGATTAATGAACCTCTTTTATTTAGAGATTCTTGTTTATACAAGTCATCTGTTTTAAATTTTCTTTTTTAAATCAAGATATTTACAAGCAATATCATTAAAGATTGTACTATCTTACTATTTGAGATTTCTAAACAAAGCTTATTATAGAATATATACTTTCTAGATTTATTTGTATGATATTGCATACTCTCAAAGTTAGTCTTAGTATAACCAAAATTACAGAATTACAACTTCAGATATCTTATCCAAGTTGCTAGAATAGATTTATTTTTTAAAATTCTGCTACTAGTAAGATTTGAACTTTGAACCTACTGTTTGGAAAATAACAACCTAACTATTACTATACTAGGATTGCTATTCTTATTACATCTTATGTATTAATACAAGTAATTATAAATTTTTTGATTTTTTAAATATTTAAATAATCTTTTTATATATTTATTTTTTAATAATCTTAGCTTTGCAATTTTTTTTTATTAAAACTTTTTTTTTTTTTAATGTTAAAATTCTTATCTTCAGAATGTAATATTTTTATTTAAGTATATAGAACATGGCATGCCATTAGGAACTACTTTATATTGAAAGTTACAACAAGCCACATATGCACTTTTAGTGCCTAATTTAAGTAATTTACTTATACATTACTATATAAGTTCTATATTAAATATTATATCTGCAAGCCAACTAGAGGTCTTGTTTATTTAAACTCTTTGCATATAGAATTTTCTTTGTATTATGAGAACATCTTCAAGGCTACACTCATCCAAGTTCTCAATACTAGTTAGTATTCTTAGAACTATTTTATTCTTGATAGGAAACTTACTAGAGTCTTTATATCCTATGCATACTGATCTATATAGTTTTATGCAATACACTATAGTTATCTAACATTTGCAATTATAGAGGTTATCTGTTTAACTACTATGTTACACTATTTCTATTCTTGTAAAGTTCATTAGAACTTCAGTGCCTATCTTTTTAATATCTTTTCTATTATTTCTTACTAATTGCAACTCAAAACTATTAGTTTTATTCCAGACTACCAATTCAGATAGCTCAATATAATATACTTCTGTATCTTTTTTCTTTGGTGAGTCTGGTAGCCTAGTTGGTTATGTGCTTCTTTATACATATTTGTTATCTAGTTTTAACTTTTAGTTCTTATAAAGATGTTTTGTAGGCTTCAATCAGTTCAATAGTATTATCAAAAGTTCATGCTACCTCTTTACTTGGGAATTTCCAAATGAGTTTCTGTCATCTCGGTTTCTTAGTCTTCTACACCTAATGGTCTTATCATGGGTTTGCACTGAAGTCTTATGCAATACTGGTTATATATTTCTCTATATATATGTAATGTTACACTTCATATAAATGCCCAAGCTCTCAATATCAGTAGGACCTGACTTGGTGTACCTGAGTAACAGCCACATGAGACCAACTAGTTGACAGAAGACAGTTATCATAATGCAAATATAATTTCCAAATTTCATTATTGATGGGATTTGAATCTTAGATCTGCCACTTGGAGGATGACAACCCAACTACTATACTAGGATCACCATCCTCTTAATAACTAATTTATATAATTTATTGTTTATAATTTTTTATACTAAATTTTTAATTATTTATATCTCAATAAATTTTTAACTAATTTTAATAATTTTACTATTGTTAGAATCAGAAATCCTACTTTATAACTTTATTTAAATATATAAAAGTAATTTATTTAATAAAATTTTTAGTAAATTAAATATAAGGTTTATATATAATTTAAACTTATTGTAAAAAGGTGTGGTGACTTAGTGAAGTAGATAAGTTGTCAACCTTCCAAGTGATAGGTTGGAAGTTCAAAACCTACTGATAGTGAAAATTTGGAAAACCACCTATGTTACATCAATGTATACGGGCATCTGTGCAATGCTGGAGTTACACAAAGAAATGCAAACCAGCATTGGGTGGCGCAAACACAAAATAAGTCCTTGAAACTGGTAATACGGCAATGGCTATCTATCAATCAGTTGGGATCAGTACCTGTAATACAGTCATACCAGATAACTGGCAGGTCATAGAGCATCTGTGGCCATGTAAATCTGTAAACTGGGATAACTGAAGCCCACTTGGGAAGACCCGAATAGAGAAGTAACACAGATCTTAAACAGTATTACTATAAAGGCTAGCCCTAGAAAACGGATACCAATGTGGAAGAAATCGGGCAGGCAAGAATCTCAGATGAGGGATACCACCAACCAGGCTGCTGGAAGTCTCGAACCGGAGGAAAAGGACCTTGGGAGACAGACCCTGGGGTACTAGAAACAGGTTACAGTCCTATCGGGCTATCTGGATTGAGAGTCTGAGTTCGGAAACAGGGGCATACTAAAAGTACTAGGAATATGCTATGAAGTCAGTGCTGAGGTCTGAGTGAACTCTGCAAAGGTGAGCCCTGTTAGCAAAGATTAAATGTGGATAGTTAGTTAAAAGGGGGGCCCCCTAGAGCCCTATAGTTAGGTGACATACTCTGAAATATGTAATAGCTTAACAGACTTACAGACAGGAAGGTCAAGGTTAGGTTAGATGGCATCTAATTAGGTGTACGGGAGCTTATGCTGCTATCTGCTAGTGTAGTATAGGGGTAATCTTGTACAAGTTATGTAATCATAATTGAATTCACAATAAAGGCAGTAGCCATCATAACTAAAAGGCCTTAGCGAAAGCAAAAAAAAAAAAAAAAAAAAACTTATTGTACTTTATTTTTAAATTGCTATTATATATTGTCAAAAATAAGCTACTCTGAAAATAAGCTGCTTTTTTAATTTAATTAGAAAACTTAAAAAATATTTTGTATTTAAAAATAAGCTACTTTGTGTTTTTAAGCCCAAATCACTGTAAATGTTTATTTCAAAAATAAGCTATTATTCTTTTTTAACAATATATAAAATAAAAATTTTGTTATAAATATATATGACTAAAAAATAAAAATCTAAATATAATTTATATATTAATAGATATATAATACAAAACTAAAAACATACAGTATATATTATACTTTAAATTGGAATCTGTCTGATTCAGAATCTGGTTGTTCTGATTTAGAACTGAGTTATCTGGCATTAGAATTCTTAAACAAAGTACCTATTTTAAGAACTATAATTATAATATACTAATACTAGCTCTAATTTTACTAATTCTCAAGCTGGATAACCTATTTAAGAATTTCAAAACTGAGTAATCTGATTCTGAACTAGAACAACTAAATTCTAAATCAAGCTTATAGGCAGAAGTTCATCTAATTGGTTAATGAATTCAATTTAATTTTACATTATTTATACAGTTTAAAGTACTTTTTAAAAAAACAAAAACTAATCACAATAATATAAAAAAAAACTATATAAAAAGTTTATTAAATCTGTAAAACTCTATAGTCAAAAATAAGATCTAATTCTTGCTTGTTTAAAAAAATTAGTTTAGTAATAAGTTGATTTTATTGAGTTTTGTTTGTTTAAAAAAATTAGCTTAGTAATAAGTTGATTTTATTAGATTTTAAGAATTTATTACTATACTAACTTTTTTAAACAGATAAGAATTAGATCTTATTTTTGACTATTAAGTTTTAAAGTTTTAATGAAACCTTATATACTAGCTTTTTTTATTTCACTATAATTGGTTTTTGTTTTTTTTAAAAAATACTTTAAACTGTATAAATAATGTAAAAGTAATTGAATTTATTAGCCAATCAGACAAACTTCTGCCTATGAGAATTAAGCAGATTTTAATCTAAAGTATAATATATATACTTATTATATAAAACTGAATTTTATTTTTAATAATGATAAGAATAAAGCAGTTAAGAATCAATAATTAGATAAGGCATATGAATTTTGTGAATAAATATTTAAGTTTATATTGTTGCAATTTTTTCAATATTTAATACCAAATGATTTTTTTATTAGAAATATTAAACTAATTAAGACTAGTTTTCATATATATAATATTATAAAAAATATTATATAACTTAATAATAACTTCAAACTATTTAATAGAAACCTTTTGAGTTGTTTTAATGCTACTATTATTCTTGTAGATTTTTATCTATTCATTATGAAAATACAAAGACTTATATCTTAAAACATTTGAATGCATTTAAAATATTTTTAATAATGTATACTACATCATCTGTTATTCATATAACATCTGATACCAAATAAATAATCAATAAATTAATAAATAAATATATAAATATATAAATAAATAAGTAAATTAAATAAATATATAAAAAATAAACTAAAATATATACCAATATACAATTTTCATATAAATTAAATTATGATAATTTATATTAATGTTTAAATCTATTGTATAATTAAAGAGGCATATAATTAGTAAAACTAGATTTTATTATACTTTATTGCATTATTATAATAGATTTAACTATTATTTATAATTATATAAAGTTTAATTAATAAATAGTAACATTAAACCTGTTAAGAGATATAAAGTAATTAATTAAATTTAATTTACAATATGTAAAATTATGTTTTTTAAATAATGATTCTTATCTATACTTTTAATTATAACAAAGAAATTTGATTACTTGCCTATTTTATTATTAGATTATTTATTATTATTAGATTCATCATCTTCATCGAATTTTTTTTTTTATTATCTTCATCAGATACTTTTTTATTATCATTAAACACCATCTTTTCATCATTATTAAACATCAATTCTTCATTATCATTAGATACCTCTTCTGCACTACCATTAGCAGACTTATTATTATTTAAATTTTCATTTAAATTTTCTTTATCTTTATTACTATTATAGATAAAATAATTCTTGCTTCCTGACAAACAATTAGAAATACCATATTTTTTGAATACCTAGACAATAATGCTTTTAGAAATATCTTTTTAAATATACAAAACCTAATAATATACTGTCTGTAGATTAGCATACTTTAAGTTTTCTTTCTTAATAAGACTACTGCTACTATTCATCATTCATCTATGCTAATGCTTACAAAGTTTATTCTTAAAAAGTTTGTTAATACAAACATTAAGAAACTGATATATACTAGTAAGACCTCTAGAAATAATAGCCAAATCTGTATTTTCTGAACAAAATTCAGCCTTAGTCTGATCTGTAATATGAGTTGAAAAAGAATTAAAAACTAACATTACTCTTGAATTATATAGTTTTGACTATGTATTATTCCAATACTTTATTTATTTATTTATTTTAGACTTATCCATTTACCCTTTTTCTTAAAACTAAACTACTACACTGGCTAGTAGTAGTAGTGTATTAGCTAGCCAAACCTTTCTTTAAAGATAATAATGAGTAGTAGCTTTCTACCATTTGCAAGACATATCAAATCTATAGTAAATTTATTCTTATCATTTCCTGTTATTCAAATATGAACAGTTTTTGTACTTTTAGGATTTACAGTTAAACTACTTGCTATATTGAACCAAACCAGAGTCTCATCCATATTTGCAATTATTTTAAGAGGATATTTATTTTTTAGATAAAGGTAAATAATAAATTGCTAAAAGTTAAGTAACTGATTTTCAAGATCTTCTAATAACTTTTGTGTAATTTTAGTTTTACATTAAAGAGAAAGATTGTGATGTTTTAAAAAATGGTTAAGTCAACATGTTGAAAACTTAAACTGATTAATTGCAAGCTTCTTAGACCTATTCTTTATTTTTTTAGCACTCTCATTTAAGATTTCAGCCATTTTTAGTTTTATATTAGGATAAGTAACTGCAAGACCATTCTGATAAACTACTATTATCTATTCATAAACTTGAGTCTTCTCTTTAGAAAAAAACATATGACATCTAGAACCAATGCTTTGTGCATTTTTTAGAAAATAAAGAAAAAAATCTTAAAAAAATTTTTTGACCCAATGATCAAGCATTGTTAAATCCAATGAATAAAGTTGTGCTACATGTGAATTTGAAGTATAATGAGCTAATTCTACTGCTCTACACTTTTCTTTAACTGTATAAGAGTTTCTAATTCTATTTATAATTTTTTTTTTTAAGAAAAAAAATATAACTGGGTTTTAAAATCTGATAAATGGCATTTTTAAAGTGAAATTTGTAGAGGTCTTTTTTATAATATATTGATATATCTATTTTTTTAGTTAAAAAAGTTCATATGCAATAATAAGTTTAAATATAAAGTATATAAAAATATTTATGCTGTATGTTAAAACTGATAGCCTTTTAAGTTATAAATAAAAGTTAGTTAACCTGTTTAAGATACTGAAAAAAAACTAAAAGTAAAAAAATTTGGTTTTATATAAAGTGAATTTAACATAGTAATTTATTGATATAGTTTTATTAGTATGTGTTATTTTTAATATTATATTGTTCTATTATATTGTTCTATAGCTTTATTGCATGTGTTATTCAATATAGTATTGTTCTATTAGCAGGTATAACATTTGGTATAGAGGTTAGGTCAATTCTAAATATTGGAACTACCTAAAAATTTTCTTAATTGTTTAATCATTTAACTGTTTAATTTCACTGACATTAACATTATTCTAGCTCATGACCAACATAATTTTGCTCAGAACTATAAAGCAATTTTTAAACAGTTAAATAATTCTAATCTTTAGTCAATTCTATTATTTATAACCTTTAGATCATTGGATTAGTCTCATAAATGCTTTTATAGTACTAAATAAAGCATATATTTTGAAATTATTAACCTATTGGTCCAAAATAAAAATAAAAAACAAATGCTTGTAAAAAAAAAATTTAGTTTTTTTTTTTTTTGGTATTAAGGTAACCTTTTGGATTTTTTGACTTTATTTAACAATGATAAATGTGGTTCAGTGAATCACTACAGAAAGAGTGTACAATTAGCTATATGTATAACTTTTCTATATTATCTATTTAAGAAGTCTACTTGAAGGTTCCTTATCAATTGTTATACCTAACACTTCTGCTTAGATATTTCACTTTAAATTCTCTGAACCTGCAAATCTGTTAACTTTACTGAGTTATATCAGATGCTTAGATTATTATCTCAATCTTAGAACTATTTTATTCTTGAGGTAAACCTCCTAGAGCCTTCTGTACACATTTTTATAGCTGATCTAGGTATCACTATAGCAGAACCTACACTTGTGATTAGGGCTTAACTATTAAACTGCTATGCCCTTGTAGAGTTTACTTAGATTCTAGCATCTACTTCACAGCATAATCCCGATACTTTAGTATACCCCTGCCTTTTCCTCTACCCTTTTACCAGACTCCTAATCCAGATAGCCTGTGTAGGACTATGACTAGTTCATCAATATATCGGGTCGGCCCAATATCTTTTTCCTCTAGTTCATTCTGGTAGCCTGGTTGGTAGTACCTCTGAGACTCCCAACCTAGAGGTTCTTGCCCGTCCAGCTACTAGAACTGGGTACTAGACCTAGATATCCGTTTCGCCAGACTAGCCTTTACAGTAGGTCCATCAAAGATCCAGCTATCTCTCTACTCGGATCTTCCCAAATGGACTTCTTGTTACTCAATTTCAACGGATTTACACAGCCACGAGGACTTATCTAGTGTTTGCACCGCCCGATATGTCAGTTTGCATTCCTTCGTGTAACTCCAACATTGCACAGATGCCCCATGACCTGCCAGTCATGCTGGTACGATCGCCATTACAGATATCCTAACCCAACCGTTAGTAATAGTTGCCATAATACGAATATTACATAGGTGATTATCCAAATTTTTGCCATTGATGGGATTTGAACATCCAACCTACCACTTGGAGGGTTGACAACCTGAC